GCGCCATTTCTAAACTCTGTTCCCCACTGCGTCCTCCAACTGGTGCGTGTTCTGCCAATCGCTTGAGGACAGAGTGGGGAAAGGAGCAAAGCAGAGTTAGAACCCGGACAAAAAGAACTTATAGAAAGCCCTTATATCCACATTTTGCTCATGTTTTAGAGCGCGTGGTGCTGAGTGCGGATGGACTCGTTCCTGTAAATCATGGAACCCCCTTTAAACAAGAGGAACCCGACGATTAGATTAGCGGATTTGGCAGCAACTCAGCCTCTTCCTCATCAGAATATGACAGGCTTCCCGGGGCTAGGGGGGCATCACCCTCTCTCCCACCATGCCCACCTCCACCCTGGGGAGCTGGGCAACGACCCCGGAGTGGCACTCACTCCATTTGGACCAGAGCACATGGCACAGACAAATGCTCTCAAACTTAGCCCGTCTCAGCACATTCAGAGCCACCCCGAAGCCCAGACCGCGGCGTCCTTCACTCCTGCTCAGACCACAGTTGGTTTCCCCGTGGCTCACCCCCACTCAGGCTACTCAAGCAGCAGGGACTTCATCCTCAGGAGAGAACTCTCAGCCTCTGCTATGCACGCACTTGGCGACCAGCATAGTTCCGCCTCCTCCCCTCATCACCATGGCATGTTCATTTCGCCAACAGGTGCTTATGGGCACGCGGAAAGTGGGGCCCATTCATTTTTTACTGGACTTCACGAGCAGGCGTCCCCAGGCGCGCACCACCACCACCACCATGCCCTCAACGGGCAGATGCGCCTGGGTCTGCCGGGGGACATCTACGGCAGGTCGGAGCACTTCGGCCACAGGCCGGAGCACCACTACGGAGCGTCGTCTCTGCACAGCTACAACTCCATGAACCTCAACGTGAACATCACCTCCGCTCCTCACGGAGCCGCTGGGGCGTTTCTGAGGTACATGCGGCAGCCCATCAAGCAGGAGCTCATCTGCAAGTGGATCGAGCCGGAGCAGAGCCAGAAGAAGCCCTGCTCGAAGACGTACAGCACCATGCACGAGCTGGTCAACCACGTCACCGTGGAGCACGTCGGGGGACCCGAGCAGAGCACGCACGTCTGCTTCTGGGAGGAATGTCCGCGCGAGGGCAAAGCGTTCAAAGCGAAGTACAAACTGATCAACCACATCCGAGTTCACACCGGGGAGAAGCCCTTCCCGTGCCCGTTCCCCGGCTGCGGGAAGGTGTTTGCGCGGTCGGAGAACCTCAAAATCCACAAGAGAACTCACACAGGTCAGTGCTGCATGTCAGTGTTTGAAAAGCAGAAGAATAAGCTCAGTTTCTCCTTGGTTTTCTGTCAACGTTCTGATCGCGTTGACGGTTCCATCGTGCGTAATTGCGCACAGATGAAAAAAAAAAAAAAACTTTTCTCACCTAAAAAAACTAACCTTTATTATTTACGTCTAAACTTTGTTCTTTACTTTCCCATGCTGGTGGCGTGAAAAAGCTGGAGCAAAACGTGCTTACGTACATACTGCTGCACGCAGAGAGGAATTTGTCCTGCAGGCGTAGGACGTTTTTACGCAAAGGCTCAATGTGCATGTGGAGGAGATTACGAGATGATACACACATTCTAAATAAAAATGCAAAACACGTGCGTTCAACCGGGTTACTTTTATGATGTAAACCTCTGAGAGAACAATCTGTGCTCGTCAGCCAAAACAACCGCAGGGCTTAAATACTGAACCTGAGCCTGGAGTCGAATGTTTGTTTGTGTTTACTCACATGTCTGGTCCAGTCTCAGAGGAGGTTACTTTTCATTTTGTGCCACTGACAAAACTCCTCCTCTCATTAATGAATCATCTAAAACTCCAGATGGACCAATCATCCAGGAGTGATCAGAACATTCAAGTTGTCGCGTTTCATCAAATTCCAAAACAAATACAGATAATTTAAAAAAACTAGTTTTTGTTTTTTATTTATGTTAAGTTGGACATGTTTCTGTCTCCTGGTGGTCTCCTGGGTGCCCCCTCTCTTCCGCCCACATGTAAACCTAAAGGCCTGGAGGCATGTAACACGTGTTCACAGGGAAATGTATACCACTTTGGTATAAGTGAGTGAGCAGCACATCATACCCCCCCCCCCCCCCCCCACACACACACACACACACACTTCTAAATGTGTCTGCTTCTTGTGTATTCAAGGAGAGAAACCCTTCAAGTGCGAGTTTGACGGCTGCGACCGAAAATTCGCCAACAGCAGCGACCGGAAGAAGCACTCCCACGTGCACACCAGCGACAAGCCCTACTACTGCAAGGTGCGCGGCTGCGACAAGTCCTACACGCACCCGAGCTCGCTGCGCAAACACATGAAGGTGCACTGCAAGTCCCCGCCGCCCCCCAGCTCCGCCAGCCTCAACTACATCTCCACGAACTCTCTCGGGGGGGACGCGCTCTCGCCCGCCTCTGACGCGCACAGAACGCGCTCGGCGAGCATCTCTTCCCCTCAGGTCACCAACCTCAACGAGTGGTACGTGTGCCAGGGGAGCGGGGGGGCGCCAAACCACCTGCACACCCCCTCCAGCGACTTGCCAACGTCGGACTCGGACGACGAGGACTCTTTTAGACATTCAGACCCGAGGACGATGCTCTGACCCCCCCTGGAGCATTTCAAACTCTAAAACCTGTAGGTGATTTTTTCAACTAGAAATGATCTTTTATCCCTAAATTAAATTCAACTTCAGTCAGATAATAAAAAATAAACAGGCTGAATCAAATAATTTAGATTTGACTGGAACTACTTATTTATTCTGAAGATTCATGCACAGGGTTTAAATTATAACTTTATTCAACAGATGGGCTAAAAAGACATTTTTTCTACGAAACCTCTTGATGCAGTTATTTAATCTGTCACATGGGGGGGGGG